CTTGCACCATGAAAAACTTGAAATCAAACACAGTTGCTCCCCACAGCTATGTCTTCTTTTTATAGGTCAGTACATGGTGGGGAGAAGGGACTCAGATTCGCTGCGCTCATGGTGTTTTCTTTCACTCGTGTCCTGATTCCTTCACCTTCGAGCCATTAAATTCACCGAAGAAGCGAAAAATTGAGCTTTCCACAACAGAATCTAAGCTTGAAGACGAGAGCGTCGAGATTGTAAGTCCATTCCTGATCAATGTTCTGATTCATACGACTTCTTTAGGGTTTGATGACTCACGCTGTGCCTCCTGTGCCTCAGTGGTGAATCATTCCTGGTTAAGAAAACAAGCCATCTTGACCTCTGGAGACCATCGCAGATAGAAACTGTTGACAGAATACAAGTTTGTAGTGCCGAAATGGATTTCAGTTTCATGTCAGTTTCCAAGTCTCCGCTGAATACGGAAATCATCCAACTTCAGGGGCGAACTCCATTTGGAATTGGTGGTCGACGGGCCTGTTATACCCATCCTCAGGACTTGGGGAAGTGCGTTAAAGTACTCAGGACCGACGACTTGCGGACCATTCGCTGCACTGCGAGTAAGTCACGATTTGCACGTTTTCGCCCGGTCTATGACAACAATGCCGATGAACAGAAAGCACTCGATGCGATTTATCGGCAACTCGGGCCAGCCATGAGACGCCATTTTCCCCAGTGCTATGGTGTCCATCAAACCGATCTTGGACCAGGGCTCGTTCTTGATCTCGTTCGCGACCACGATGGTCAAATCTCTTGCAGTCTGCGAGAGTTACTCACCAGTGGAATCCCACCTGAGGAATTTCGCCCCGCCTTCGATGAGTTCGCCAACTTTCTGCTGGACAATCTCATATTGACCCGAAATCTGCTGGATCATAATCTCGTTGCCAGCCGTCTGGAGGATGGTCAATGGAGGCTCTACCTGATCGATGGTTTTGGTGATTCTGCCTGGATTTCTTTCGGGAATTGGATTCCACCAATTGCACGCAAGCGAATTCGCTCCAGAATTGAACGTGTTTGGCCCAGGTTAGAAGCTTTCTACCAGCAGGGAGGAGTCTCGGAGGAAGTCCGCCTCACCAGTAATTGGGATCAGGGCTTTTTGCGCCATCGTGGACAGGATTCAATTGCCTCGTAATTAATTTTTCATTGAAATTCGTGGCTAATGAGATCGTTATTGCTTAATGACACATTGAAGTAATCACAGTCGCCGATCACTCCGTGATCGTGCGTACATGGCGTTTTGGCGTCAAAATAGAGCGAATTGCATAACATTGTTTGCGAATTGTCTGGTGGATTGGCGTTTCCGTTGTAGTGAGAGGCGTTCATCGCGGAGGCATGGTAGAACAGACTGCTCTAAAAGACGCTAGATCGACGGAGCGATCTGCGACAAAATTTGGTCAAACCATGTTTATGCCAGTTCATTGCTATTCGTTATACAAAGCTTTTAATACTGAATGCAGACATCAATGTGATTGAGAATATGGTACAAGCAAGTCCACAACAATGCACACAGGGAGGTCATACCAATGTCGATCGAACCTAGTGCTGCCGATCTGAGCGATCGTCCCTTTGGCACCTATCGCATCTCCTGGTGGGGAAGATTACTGGTCCGACTTTGCCAGGTGTTACCAGAAAACCGACTGGGGAAACAGCTGGCCTTTCTCTTGAGAAAGCCCTTGTTGTCACTGCATACTGACCCGATGGATGTCAACGCACGAGGTTTGCAATTACGATTGTTTCCACATGCAAATCTATCGGATAAACGTCTGCTAACAACACCATTTCTGCTCGATGGTGTGGAGCGTCGCGAACTGTGCAAGTTGATCCCTCAGAGTGGCTGCATGATCGACATTGGAGCGAACGTCGGTGGGTATTCCATTTTGATGATGCAGGAACGACCAGACTTAAACGTAATTGCGATTGAGGCCGACCCTGATATTTCGACACGCCTGCAGGACAATCTCTCACTGAATCATTTCGATTCGCGGTGCCGCGTCGTCACCAAGGGAGTGAGTGATCAGGTGACCTCCCTTCAATTACATCGTGACCCAACAAATCAGGGTATGAATCGACTGACCGACGGAGAAGCTTCAACTGCAGATTTGGCTTATGTCGAAGTTCCCTGTGAACCTCTATTAAACATCCTTAATGCTCATGACATTCAGCGTCCTGACCACATGAAACTTGATATTGAAGGGCATGAATTTCCTGTTCTTTCAAGTTTTTTCAAGGACGCATCGCCATCGCGTTGGCCTCAATTCATTCAGATCGAACAATATCGTGATATCGAACTCAATGACGCTGTCCGCCTCTGTTTGGATCATGGATACCGTATTCGGTTGCGAGCACGAATGAATGTCCTGCTGGAGTTGAGCGAATCTTGTCAGAAGGCAGCTTGAACGGCTCTCTGTATCTCCCATGACTGAATATCTCTGGACAATGCCAGTCATTCTGATCTTTGCCATCTGGTTGACGCGCAAACGGGCTTGGTGGGCGAGAACCATCGATTATCGTCATCCACGTATTCTGATGTATCACATGATCTGTGAGACTCTACCCGAGCATCGCTATCGTGGATTACGCGTTGCACCGCAAATGTTTGAGCGACAGATCGCCTGGTTAAAAGACAATGGTTGGACCTTTGTCACCATGTCCGAGTTGCGGGAGCAGTACGAATCCTTGCCTCCCAAAACTGTTGCGATCACATTTGATGACGGCTTCCTGGACAATCTAACAGCGGCACTCCCTGCCTTACAGAAACATGATGCGAAAGCGACACTTTATTTGCTGATCGATCGCCACGATAACGAATGGCAAACGAACAAGAAGGCCCACCACAACTCAGGAGAAATCCTCCGTGAGCAGAAGTTGACTGACGAGCAGGTCAGGGAAATGCTTGCTTCTGGATTGATCGAGTTGGGTGGGCATACCATCAGCCATCTTAATTTGCAGAAAGCAACACCTGAGCAAAAAGCAGCAGAAATCCAGGGCTGTCGCCAAACATTGCAAGAACTGTTTGGCGAAGAATCCAAGAGCTTCGCCTACCCTTTTGGCTTATTTGATGACAAAGATGTCGAACTCGTGGAGCAGACAGGCTTTACATCAGCTGTGACAACCATTGAAGGCATTGACCAACAGCCAGATTTCCTGCGCCTGAAAAGAATTAAAATCTCCGGCAAAGATTGCTTTTCAAGGTTCAAAACCCGCATGAGAATCGGGTGGAAGGGCTACTAGGTGCTTTGCGCACAACTCTCATCTTGACATGATTTGAAGTTCTTACCATTTTCTGTCGGTTAAGATCCAATTCTCATTTCAGGAAGATCGCGAGAAGGACAATATTTCATGAGACATCCCGTCGCTGAACGAGTCAAGCAGATTGTCCGTCCTTCGTTGTATCGTTTCTTCTATAAAGATAAAGCGATCTATGATTGCCCCATTTGCCATTACCATGGCCCTTTCAAGGATAAACGGGTCACAAACAAGGAAGAGACGAAGCGCCTCGATTCCAAATGTCCTCAGTGTGCTGGGACAGAACGACATCGCATGCTGTCGCTGGTGATTGACGAAGTCTTCGCTGACCGAGATTGCTACAAAGAGAGCGTCCTGCATTTCGCACCGGAAGCGTGCCTGCAACCTCGTTTGCGAAAATTATTCAACGAATACAGCACTGCTGATCTCTTCATGCCCAATATGAATTACGTTGAAGATGTTCAAAAAATGAGTTTTCGAGACGGTCAATTCGACTGCGTTCTGATCTCACATGTGATGTCCAGCGTGCCAAGTATGAATCGCTCATTCAAAGAATTGAGACGGATTACCGCACCAGGTGGGGTGGTGATCATCGCAGAAGGGTTCACATTAGATCAAACCGACGAATACCCGGAACAGCGAGGCGACTTCTATCGAGAAGTTGGTCTGGATGCCGTTGATCAACTGAAGCAGTTATACAGCAGAGTCGAGATGTTCGTCTCTGACCGCTACGAGGACCGTTATCAACTGATCAACATGATGGAAGTCAACAGACAATGCGACGATGGCTATCCTGATCAGATACGAGTTCCAGGGAAAGGTTATCGAACAATGGTTGCTGTCTGCTACGTTTAAGTCGAAAGAACATTCAGTTGATACATCGAGGTCTCAACTGACACTACGTCAATATGTTGCTGTGGTCTCGGTCATAAAAAATTGCGAGATCAGGTATTTCAGAAACCAGGGAAGGTTTCATGCAGAAGTGGAAACAAGTTTTATATCGCAAAGCATTGGGCCCTCTCCCACAACGGCGAGAACGCGGCCTGAAGAAGTTATTCGATGTGCTGGCGACCACACCATTACACGATAAGTATTGGATGAATGGTGGCCTGCTGTTGGGCTGCATCCGCGATGGTGGTCCGATGGAATACGACGATGACGCCGACTTCTCATTCTGGAAATCAGATCGCCAATTGATGGAAGAAGCCAGCAAGGTTCTCCAGGCAAATGGCTTCAAACTCCGCAAAAAAAGACCGAACAACGACGGTTCCATAACGACTTTTTCTTACCGTTACTGGGGAGTCGATTATGACTTCTGCGAAATGTACCTGGTCAACGGAAAAATGAGATGGATCGGACGTGCCGGGGCCCCAAATCTGGAACTGGTGAATGAAGTCCCCAATCATGGTCTGGAACCAATCGAGCTCTATGGTCGTCAATGGATGAAACCGGACGATCATGAAACGTATCTCGAAGCACTCTACGGTGACTGGCGTAATCCCGATCCGAACTACTGTTCCTGGGAAGATAGTAAAGCCGTCATCGAAACGTATCCACAAGTCAGGTAGTACAATGAAACGTCTGTTTGTTCCGGGAGTCTTTGATGTCTTCCATGTTGGGCATTTGAATTACTTAAAAAATGCAGCGGCTCACGGCGACTATGTCATCGTCGGTGTCCAGGATGATCGAGAAGTTCAACGCTGCAAAAATGTCAATCCGATTATCCCTTTGCCTGATCGGATTGCGATCATTGAGGCTCTCCGGTTCGTTGACGAGGTTGTTAGCTACACTGATGCCTTCCAGGGACCACTCCTCGAAGGACTTGAGATCGACGTCTTCGCTTGCGGTGATGAATATGGTCAGGTCGACGAATATCCCGATCAGAAACGAACATTGAAATACTGCGAAGAGAACAATGTTGAAGTGGTTCATATTCCCCGGACTCATCGTGTTTCTTCAACAAACATTCGTGGCCAACTCAAGAACTTCTGGGATAGCCGAGCAAAACTGAAAAGTGAACTCTCTGCTGGTGTGACTGTCCTGGGGAGCTTTCAGGGCGACCAGCAGAAAGTCGATGAAGAGACTCAGATTGAAGTCGATATGATTCTCGCAGCTGCGGGTGAGAATGTCGGTGGCAGACTGCTCGATCTCGGTTGTGGTGACGGACGACAACTGGGTGGTCTCTGTCCCAAGTTTGAACAGGTCGTGGGAGTCGATTTCTCTGCCACTCTGCTGGACCTGGCCAAACAGCGACTTGGTGACATCGGCAAGAACTGCGAACTCGTCGAGGCGGATGTCTCTGAATATGTCAGCGATGAATCATTCGATGTGATTCTGCTCTCAGGGATTATCCCCTGCCTGGATGATCTACAAATGGACCGCATGATTGCCAACATTGGTCAAATGTCGAAGCCGAATTCGAAACTGTTGGTTCGTTCATCAATCGGTCTTGAGAAGCGAATCAACGTGGTCAACCAGTTCTCTTTAGAACTCAAGGAACGCTACACCGCTTACTACCGCTTGGTGAGCGAGATTGAGGACCTCTTTCAGGAGAATGGCTGGAACTGCGAGAAAAACAACCTGCTCTACCAGCATCGAGAAGATACCGCAGTCTGGTGGTTTGACTTCTCGCGCGAAGAGCAATCTGAAGAGCGTCTCGCCTCTTAGATAAGACCATCAACGACTGCTGACTGACTCTGGAACAGGTTCAGACGATGGTTGCTCAGCGGCATCTTCCTCTGCCAGACCGGGAGCAGTCTCGCTCTCAGGGGGTAAGACTGCTGTCTTGCTGGCGATGATGCGGCCTAACCATCCTCCCAGCAACGCAGGGAGCAAGACGACATCTGCAACGAGTGCCATGACTACCAAACCTGCCATCAAGATTCCAAACCTGGAAATCAACAACAGGTCGGCTCCAGAAACGATGACGATGCCGAGGGCAATGGTGGCACTCGTCTGCCACATTGCAGGCCCGCAGTGTTGTAGTGCGAGAACAA